ATGGGGTGTTTCCGCGCGCTTTTCGCGTTTCGTTTCCCACTGTAAACAAGGGTTTCAGGGCCATTTTTGACGACCTGCGCGCGGGGTTGGAGCAGTGGGCGTATGTTGCGTTCACGGGCACACTTTCATGACTGAGCGCACGCCTGCCACATGATAAGCACCCACATTGACGCACGCATTATCATCATTGCGTGCATGCACACATTATCATCATTGCACACATTATCATCATTGCGTGCGTGCCACATGATCAGCATCCACGTTCACGCACACATTATCATCATTGCACACATTATCATCGTTGCGTGCATGCGCGCATTATCATCATTGCACACATTATCATCATTGCGTACATGCCTGCCACATGATCAGCATCCACGTTCACGCGCACATTATCCTCGTTGCGTGCATGCCTGCCACATGATCAGCATCCACGTTCACGCACACATTATCATCGTTGCGTGCATGTCTGCCACATGATCAGCATCCACGTTCACGCACGCATTATCATCATTGCGTGCATGCCTGCCACATGATCAGCGCCCACGTTCACGCACACATTATCATCGTTGCGTGCATGCCTGCCACATGCTCAGCATCCGCGTTCACGCACACATTATCATCATTGCGAGCATGCCTGCCACTTGATCAGCATCCACGTTCACGCACACATTATCATCATTGCCCCAAGGGCATATTTGAACATCGATGAAAACAAGCAGCGTCTGTGGGCGTAAAAACCCCAAGACGCATTGAACAGACAGAAAACTCTGGACCGAAAAACCGCGCGGTGAGAGCCCATCGAAGCGTTGTTGTTGTTGTTTGTTGTTTGTTGTTTGTTGTTTGTTGTTTGTTGTTTGGTGGTGGTGGTGGTGGTGGTGGTGGTGGTGGTGGTGGTGGTGGTGGTGGTGGTGGTGGTGGTGGTGGTGGTGGTGGTGGTGGTGTTGTTGTTGTTGTTGTTGGTGTCGTTGTTGTTGTTGTTGTTGTTGCTGTTGGTGGTGGTGGTGGTGGTGGTGGTGGTGGTGTTGTTGTTGTTGTTGTTGTTGTTGTTGTTGTTGTTGTTGTTGTTGTTGTTGCTGTTGCTGTTGCTGTTGCTGTTGCTGTTGCTGTTGATGTTGCTGTTGCTGTTGCTGTTGCTGTTGTTGTTGTTGTTGTCAAAAAAAGAAGTGTATTCCATGGGATTGGTTATGCTCTGGAATTCTCCTCTTCTGGCGGGAGTGAAGCCTTTTATATTGGAGCTCGCGAGCCCAGAGTCCAGTGAAATCAGTTCTGGTTGTCCTTTGTTCTCGGCCGACAAGCCCAACCAGAAGGTGCGGAGATCTGCCTTGATTCTCGTTGATCCTTTACTTGGTTTGGGTAGACCACTGAAATTTTCACTGCAAGCAGTTTTGCGGGATTCAGCTCGCAGGATTCCACGAGTCACGCTGGCGAGATGTTTGTTTTTTCCCAAAATGAATGCCAAGTGCATTTTGCGTGTTCAGCTCCCGGGCTTCGGATGCCTTGGAGCGCGCTTGGCAAGATGGCTGTGGTTGTCAAAACCAATGGGATCCCATTTTGGGGTAGGTGAATTCACCACCCATTTTAGAACCTATTTTAGTGCTTGGATTGGGATGTTCACTGGGATGTTAGTGGGATTTTTACTCATGGCAATATTTGCAGGCTTGATGAGGAGCGCGGCCATGTTGCCCGGGCAGCTGCAAGACTTCAGCATCCGCAACGCGGAATGCTTCTGCTGCTCCAACAATCACCGGTACCCGGACACGGGCGCCTGGCTGCAGTGCGACCGCAGGCTCGTCTTCAAGACGCTGCGGCAGTGGTACGGAGACGACTGGGAAGAGGGCGAGACGTTCCTCGACAACTTCGACACGCAGGTGCGGAACCGCCTCAGGGACGAGGTGTTACAGGGCGTCTTGGGCGCTGGAATGCTGCACCTGGAATACACCCTCAGCCTGGTCTACGTGGTATACTTGCCATTTCTGAGCTACTGGATGCGTGAAGTGGCACGGGGACCCGAAGAAGAGCTTGCTGGTTGGGAGATGCTTGCATGGAGTGTCAAACAAGTGTGCAAGGTGGCCAAGCATCCCATCGGCGGGCTGATGAACATGTGGCTCCTGGTGGCTGCATGCACAGTGGCTTGCCAGCGTTTGGGTGTTCACCCGTTCTTGACCAGGGTGCCGTGTTTCAGTGAGGTAGCGGCGCCGTAAAGCGCCACTCTTCTCTGCGTTCACTGTCTTACCTTCGACCCAAGTTGCATCGTCTAGAATGGGTTTCCCAAGATGCACACCCTGCAAGGCGGGCCTCGCACGGGCCTCGTGAAGCAAACAAAACACAGAACGGAGAACGGAGCCGCCTTTTTTTTCCTCTCCCGCAAGCGACCTTCTGTTGGGAAAAATCGTCAGCGAAAATCCGCGCCATCGGCGGGAGATCGTTGACAGAGCCTCATCACTGCATCTCTGAGCCGCTACTTGACTAGGTCCAGCAATGGGTGCCCTTTCTCAGCGTTTCTTTTTTGGTTGGGAGGGTTCCCCTAAAATGGACTACAGAAAAAAGGTGGTACTTATTCTAACCTCTCTACTGGAGGACCTAGTTGAGCAATGGGCCTTGCCTGGCTGTGAATGTCCAGTCCCTCTCCAATTCATACGAAAACTCCCGATTACAATCGAACAACAGAAGCAACTCGTGTCTTCCCTTCCGAGGCGAATCCGCGATTCTCACCTTGGCTTCCGGCGTAAAACGCCTTTCTCAAATTCCTCGGTCGATCTGCAAGGAGCCTTGGCAATTCTTTGAATATGCGGTCGCCGTATTGTCCTGTAACATGCTTGGAGCAACCAAAACCAGAACCCCGTCACTCTCCCACTCTCCCGCCCTGCGCATTCCTTGGATATGTAGAGGTAATCGAGACAGCTTAGGGGCACCTTGAGAATATTTCAGAAAGGATTCTTCTCTCTGGTGCAATAAGTAGGGAATGACCTCCCAACATGAAAGTGCACAGACCCCTGTCATGGAGCTTTGTGCACGTCGAAAGCTGGTAGGGTACCCCCAAAGAACACTCGGAACTCTGGAAAGACCACTTTCCTCTTGGAAGGCTTTGTGCACTTCCAATGTTGGTGGGAGGGTTCCACGGGAGGCTATCCCCAAAAAAGCACCTGACGCATGGGTTGACAGGTGGGCTTGTCCCTGACGCGCCACTGCTCGCAGAGTCTGGCAGCACTGGCTATCAGCTTTCCGGCGCCTGGCCTGAACGGATTATTATTGTTATTATTATTATTATGTTATATGTTTCTTATTATTATTATTTATTAATATTACTATTATTATTATTATTATTATTATTATTATTATTATTATTATTATTATTGTTATTATTATTATTATTATTATTATTATTATTATTATTATTATTATTATTATTATTATTATGATGATTATTATTATTATTATTATTATTATTATTATTATTATTATTATTATTATTACTATTACTATTATTATTATTACTATTATTATTATTATTATTATTATTATTATTATTATTATTATTATTATTATTATTATTATTATTATTATTATTATTGTTATTATTATTATTATTATTATTATTATTATTATTATTATTATTATTATTATTATTATTATTATTATTATTATTATTATTATTATTATTATTATTTATTGTTATTTATTATTATTTGTTTACACATATATATATATATAAACGAGAGAAACAAATCTCTGCGCCCCGCCCAAAAAACGATTTTCAGCGTTGAAAAAAACATGTGGGGGATCCAAAGGTCCGAACTACATGGGATGGCCATTTGGTTGGGAAACCACCCAAAAGATGAGGTATCTCAACCACTAAATTGGAAAAGTGACCCACGGTCAATTTGGGGCCAGGAATATTGATCAATCCCCATGAGGGGCCCCATGTGTCAAGCATCTGTCCATTCTCCAGACTCTGAACACATCTTTTTTTGACTACCAACAGCTTGTACCCCCCAATGGGCCGCCGGAAACCATCGGGTTTTACTTTCTCCAGAGGCGGATGTTCTACTTTGGCCGCTTCTGTCCACTCAAATCGATTGATTAGGGTTCTCCCCAGGGATGACGCAAAAAACGGTTCCAAAAGACTCCATCAGAAGGCAAGGTTCGGACCCATAGATGATGATTATGGACGGTCTAGAATGGATATAAATTGTCGCCATTTTGGTAGCTGAACCCCGGAGGGTTTGCCATGTAGGCAACTCTTCAAAGTGCCCATGGCAAGGAAGACCCGGGCTGCGTTTGGACTTTCTTCCAGAGAACGCCCCTTGCCTGAGTCCTTGATTTTGCCAGACTGGCCACGCAGAAACTGCGAAAAAGGATGGGAGCGAAGTGGTGGGTTTCTGTCACCCCTCATTTGTTTACGAACTGATGGTCCCGTTTGTTCCTGAAAACTTTGAGACAAACTGCGACATCCCATTGCGATCAAATGGAAATTGGAAGGCGCAAGTGTCACAGAGCGGCCAAAACCCACCTTGGGGGCCTCCGAAAGGTCGTTGCTTCGTTGCTTGCTGGTGCGATAGGTAGGGAATGTAGTTGAATGAAGCCAGGCGTTGGTCCCCATTAAAGGAAACCACAAGGGATGGTTTATTCGGGTCATTCCCTCATAAAACAGAAACCTCAGCCAATAGCTTTCCTGGTTGAAAGCTGAAGGTGTTGTAGGTCAATTTGCTGGTGCTGGTAGGGAATGACCGAGCCAGGGTGTTGGGAATGAACCGGGAGGGGATTCCCTTCATTTTGGGGTAGGTGAATTCACCGCCCATTTTAGAACCTATTTTCGTGGTTGGGATTGGGATGTTCACTGGGGATTGGGATTGGGATTTTGACCCATGGCCATATGACATGGTCAAACGCTTTTTGTGTGGGTCAGGGTCATAGTTTCCTTACTAGGATCGTTGTCTCGAGTCCACCAAAAACCAGGGGAATCGGTGAAAAGAGGGATGCTTGAACAAGGAAAATGACTCAATCAAATAGATGTGCTTTCATCCTCGTTGATACCTGCCTGAAACAAAACCAGAGGTTTCCCATGACTTTCCTGAGATGGGGTTCACCAAACAAGTCCAAAGTTGCCAAGTGCTTGTGTGTCTTCAGCAGGCCATTTGCTTGGCCTCCTTCGTGTGGATGCCCTTCGAGTTGTTGCAGAGCCTCACAGACGAGACCAGCGTGCTGATGCTGCGCTCGGATTGCAATGGATGGGACTGAATGGATCACTGGGAGAGGGAGCCACGGTTGGAACATGCTAGACCTTGGTGGCTCCCAGCCATCCGGTCCCTTAGCTTTTGAGCCTTTTAGTGTTGAGTGGTTGGATGTCCATTTAACCCACTAAGAGTTATTCACTTTTAGCAGATCCGAATCGGACAGCCCTGAAGAGTCTAGGGACCTCAAGGGCCGTTTTGAGGTGCAACACCTTCCAATGAATGTCACACTCTGTCTCGAGGTGCGTGGTCGTCAAAACCAATCGGATCCCATTTTGGGGTAGGTGAATTCACCGCCCATTTTAGAACCTATTTTCGTGGTTGGATTGGGATGTTCACTGGGGGGTACTTGTTTTTTTGTTTTTCTTACTCATCATTTGACACACCCCCAGGTGATGCCTAACCAAGCGGATCCCAGTTGCCGTTAAGGGAGTGGAATGGTCGGAGTGGCCTACATGTGCTGTACCCTCTTTGTACTTGGGATTGGCAGGGATAGTCTTGTGGGGGTGTTAGACGAGCAATGTAAAGGTTCCTATTGATGTAACCAGGCGCGCCAGGCCCGGGTTTTGGTTTGACCATAATGCTGCGTTGCCGTCTATTGACGGCCGACATCCAAATTCCCCTTTCATTGCTGGCGCGATGACTCTGTTTCGGGACTGGCCAGGGCCCAAAAAAAGTCCACGGGTGCTTCGGGGTATTTGGAGAAAGTCTGTGGGTGTCTATTAAAATCAAGGACCCTCCAATACTAAGCCACAGGTTTTGGGGGGTACTCTATGTTCAGATACGTGAAACAGCTGTGACCTTTGCTGGCTATGGTTAAGAATCAAGAGAGCATGTTTCGTTGTTTGTTTGCCGTTGCATTTGTTTGTGTGTGTGTGTGTGCGTGCGGCCAGAATGAAATCACAAGACCCTGCTATCAAGTGTCGTTTTGGGAGAGGAACGACGCTCAAGACTCACCACGTTGCAAGTTCGCTGGTCGTTAGGATTCCGGTGCTGGTCTATGGAGCGTTGGCCAGCTACCTCTACAAGCCTCGGCGCTACCGAGCTCAAGATGGCCGGACTGAGCATGCTCACTCTTTGAGTGTGGATGCGCTGAAGGACGGGGAGGGAGCGAGAGGGAGCAGAGCTGGCGCACGTGATTGAACCAACCCGGGAGTTTGGTTCGTTTCTGGTTTCATCCGACAGGTTCCCACCCAAAACCGGGCCCTTGAGACAAACACGACGGACAATGCCGCAAGAAACATGGAACTCGCCAGGTGAGACCCCAAGTATTCCACGTGCGGACTTACAGGGAAGCTGGAGGGTCAGTGGGCCCGACCCCAAAAAAAGGCACGCAGGTGCTTGCAAGGATGTCGCGACAAAGGCGGCGAATTGAACGGCTGACTTGTAAAAATTGAGAGTGCAGTGAGTCGATCAGATCATGCATGTGTTCTTTTGTCCGGCTGAGGTTTGCAAGCAGGCTCACCTTCTGTTATTCCTGCTTCTGCTTCATTGATCTCTAGACTCGTTGTTCAAAATGGTTCATCATACCCTCACAAGGCTTTCGTTGACCTACCTAATGCCTTTCACCGCTTGTCTCTGCCTACTGCTTTCTGTTGCAAGTACTTTCTTCTGCCTTTTGCCTGCCCGGTGCCTACCGCCTTTGACTGCTTACCGTCTTCCATTGCTTTGATGCATTTTCGTGACCGCTTTCGGTCGTCGCTGCCTTCGACTTCAAACATCCAAAGCCTTGGGCGGATTTGGCGGGTTTCAGGAGATGCCAAAGGAAGAGAAGATGCCGACAGAGGCAGAGGACACCCTGAATGTTTGACTGTGGCTGCTCCTCGGTTTTTTCCCAGCTTCTATTGTCAGAAGTTTTGGTTGCGTTTTCAGCGTTCTGCTGAAAAAGCCAGATCGGTGGCTTTTCGCTTTCGAGCTTTCTGCTCACATTAATGTTTATCCTGGCTTGGCGGCAAGAAATTTGCGCCTTTTTCAGCGAAACTCCTCGTGGTCGCTGGTGGAACCCAGCGACAGCTGCAGAGAGCAGGAGGGTTTCGAAATGCTCATTGCAAGCCCCAATCATGTGTTTGCAAACATGTATTTGAATGTGCGTCTACACATGATGCGTGCGTATATATATATATACATATATATATATATTTAGTTATTTATACAGGTAACATTCATGTTGCTGGCTTGGTTGGTTGGCTGGCTGGCTGGCTGGCTGGCTGGCTGGCTGGCTGGCTGGCTGGCTGGCTGGCTGGCTGGCTGGCTGGCTGGCTGGCTCTTTAGCCTGAAGCCGCTGGCGCGTTTAGTTTGTGGTTCGGCCTCAAATGGATTGCGGTTCTCGCCCGAAGCTCCATTCCGGAGTGAAGATAGCCACGGAGACCTGCCAAGAAGCACTGTCAGACCACACCACACTTCAAAGAAACTGAAATAGTTGGTGGCAAAAGGTAGTTGTCTGTTTCAATAACAAGGCTTAAAGTTTGTGGCATTGGGCTGAGGCTGCCAGCGCAACATGGGACAATCCGGCCTGCGTGGACGCAGGATCCGTCGCGGCGCCCCGGCGCCAGAAAAACACAATGCACCTTGGCACAGCCCGGCAGCAACGAACGCCAAAGTATCGAAAACGCAACGAGCGGCCATGGGTCATAATCCCGAACATCCCAATCCCCACTAAAATGGACTAAAATGGGTGGTGCACCTACCCCAAAATGGGATCCTATTGGTTTTGACAACCACAACCAAAGAGATTCGAAGACTGGCTGGTTGTTCTCTTCGGGCTGAGGTGCTTTGGTGTATTTTTCATGACAAGTTGCCAAAGGAAGCGAAAGAGGCAGAAAACACTCTGAATGTTCAACAGAGTCTCCTATAACTGTTCCGAAAAGAGGGGTCAGGGCTTTCGAGCATCTTTGACGTTTCCCAGCTTCTTCTGGAAGTTTGGGCTACGTTTGCAGCTTTCTGCTGAAAAAGCCAGATCAGTGGCTTTTCGTTTTCGAGCTTACTGCTCCCATGAATTTTTATCCTGAACCCGCAAAGCGGCAAGAAATTTGCGCCTTTTTCAGCGAAACACCTCGTGGTCGCTGGTGGAACCCAGTGACAGCTGCAGAGAGCAGGAGGGTTTCGAAATGCTCATAACCCCAAACATGTGTATGCACATTCAGTATATACATATATATATATGCATACATATGCCATATATATATATATACACATATGTGTATAGTCACATGTGTCTGCATGTATATACACATGTATACATCTCTGTCTGGAAGCCCACATCACGGCTTTGTAGAGAAAGCTTCTTATTGGGCCGCTTGTTGGGGTTCAAGCCTTTTGCTTTCCGAAGGTGTTTTCAAGTTGAGGTTTGCAACAGAATCGCGCGCGCGAGATTCGATTTTCTGGCTGCTGCGGCCGGGCCTCCATTTGGGGCTGAGATGGTTTTCAAGAACACACTGCTCAAATTGGTATCACAAATCTAGCATTCAAACCTCAGTAGTGCCCTGATACCCTTTTGTGGGGGAGGGTTCCCCTACTAAAATAGTGTGCAGCAAAAAGGGTACCCTTATTCTAACCTCTTTACTGGAGGACCTAACCTCTCTTCTGGAGGACATACGTAGCCCTTGCGCCCTAACCGCTGTTTCCCTGTTGGGGAGTGGCATTTTTTGGGAGTTTCTTCTCATTGAAGGGCTGCCTACCAGGTTCGGCTTGGACTCCCCTACTTAGATGGTCTGGGACTTGGCTAAATGGTTAGTAACCCTCGTTACAGGGGACTTACAACCATTGTAAGTGAACTACAACCAGGGTTACTACTCCTTTAGCTAACTCCCAGACCATCCAAGTACCATTTGTGATTAGTTTCTTGCAGCACGGTGCATTGCAAATGTCCACCGAAATGTGTGTTGCCGACCTGCGTTCAGCACAACTTGCAATGCCTTGCATGTTAACGCCAAAGTGGGAGTAAACTACCTACAAGACCAACCACTGAACAGCAGGGGTTTCGTCAAAATCGCCTGGTTGAATGCGCGAAGCCACCTCAAGTCCCTGCCTTTCCTGGGAAGCATCGAATCTGCTTTTCAAAGCTCTCCAAAGAAATCATATCCCATATCCACTCCAAATATCTACTGTTACTTCCCACATCAGGGGTTTCATCATGAATCCAGAAAACCGATGATTGGAGAGGGGCAATCCAAATGCAGTGGTGGCACGAAGACCATGCCCCGGAGCACAGATGTCAATTCCTCCCTTGCCTGCCTAGTGGCTTGCGCCGTAAGACTGCGCCATACTGCGCCCATCTTTGGGAGCCACGAGTCAGTTGTGACTCGTCGGCGATCGTTCACACTGCTTGGAAGGCAAGAAGTTCCGGAGCTTTCTTGAGCACCGAGCATCCCGGCATTGACAAAGCTCACCGTTTAAACGTTCCTGGAGCGGACTGGTCTGTGAGCAAATCACCAGGACCCAAGGGGTCAGCCTATCTCCGGCGAAAGAATCTCGAGGGGGGGGGGGTCCGTCAAATTCGAGGCTCCGATTCGATGTTTATCCCAGCTAGTTCAAGCAAATGGCTAGCTGTTTGTTCAACCCACCAAGTTGTAACAATGCAACAAGTCAATCAGCTCCTGCCCCACAAAAAACAGGCAACACCTGGTTATCCTCTGCTTACGGTTGAGCAAAGTATGATGCTTGACCGGAAACCGAGTCCCTTCTCATCGCGGGAGCGCTGAAGTTGAAGCCTTTGCTCCAACCGCGCAAATTGCTAAGCCAAAATGGTTTTTCCACGAATCTCGTGCCGCCGGAATTGCAAAACATTTTTGTTTTTGTCGATATCCTTCAAAAGCGAAGGATCCCCTCAATGAAGCATGAAGCAACCACGGTCTTCCTAATCCGGGTTCAACATTAGTCCCAAATACCATCCAGGGGGGTTTTGGGAAATTAAGCTATATAAAGGCATGTTGCGGCCATCTAAGGAACCCCTAAAGAGGGGACCCCCCCAAAAAGGAACCGTAGGCCTTAGTCGCCATTGGCCCCCCATTGGTCGCTTGAAATGGCCGAAGCTTGTCGATCGATGGTTGCCCTTCCCCGAACTTGCTGAGGTCTGTGCTGAACAGCGGCGTGGAAAAAGCCGGGCGAGCCGAGAAAAGTTCCAATCGGAGGGCGAAGACCCCAAGAGCTGTTGAGCTTCTCATTCGGGTGTTCCTGCCCCTTCGGTTTTTTTTGGGTCTTCCTGCTCCGTTGGCTTTCCTTGGGGGTTCCTGCCCCGTTTGTAACCGCTCTGCACTTCGGAGGGTGCTCCACCGAGTATCCATCTTGGGCTCCCAGCAGAAACACACGTGTTTGCCGGTGAGTCATCGGACTTGTCGGGCATGCCCACTTCTGGCATGCTTTTTGGGAGGCAGAAGTGGTCAAAGAGACTGCCAGGTGACCAAAGTCGTGCCTCTTGAGTGCCATTCTTCAGCTGGAAGCGCACCAGATGTATCGCCTGATTTCGGCTCATGCCCAGCGCCATAGGGCCATAGAAAGGACAGCACCACCCGACCTGAGCACAAGTCTTCGGCCAAACCAACACGCAAAGGGAAACCGCATCGACAGCGCTTTGTCCTGGAGTTTCGGCGCTGGATCACACCGGAAATCCTGACCTTGCTCACCGAAAAGAGATGGCCAATGATTTCTACCAGAAGTCTAAAAATATTTCAAATGAGAGCGGCAACCAGTTGACTCTCGGAAGGTCGACCCACCGCAACAGGCGGGAAAACTGTCCCGCCGGTTTGGCGGGAAGCGGGCGATGGCAATGGCCGCGCGCTCAGTTTGCAACATTTGCGGTCGTGAGGGTACCCCTTTTGGGGGGTGGCTGAAAGGAAGATCAAAAAAGGAACACCAGAAAACCATCTTTTTGTTGGGTCGGGGGGGTCTCCCTATTTTAAGGGACATGTAAAGGAAAAACCATCATTTTGGGATCTCCCTAGTGTGACAGAGATGTGTGTCTCGGCTCGGGCCTCCATCTTTGACCACAGCGAAGCCAGCGAGCCTTAAAGGTCACTGTGATCACCTCGCCCTTCGATGTACGGAGGGGTGGGGATACGTAAACTTGACTGATACTGGGTTACGGATCTTTAGACTTTATTGTTTTTGGAAATCAAGTTGGGTTTTCCACCAAACCCCAAACAAGTTAAACTTTTTGCAGGGGGGTCAACAGCAACCAAGTAAATGTACGCGGCTTTTGGCTGTACATTTCCGAGGTGCGCGGGGGGGTCCAGAGGAAAGAGTGCACAATTTTCAAGCGCGGGGGGGGGCGGGGGGGGAGAGATATACAACACTGTCAAAAGTACACCCGCGCCTCAGCCCCCCGCCAGTGTACATTTCTGCGAGTGTCTTGCTATGGCTTTTTTGATGGGCAACTTGCAATTCGTGCAGACCTCTGGGGTCTCCAGACCTGTTATCAACATCTTAGGGTTGACTACAGAGGAAACCGAATCCCAGTGGCCCAGTGGCGCCCTTTTTCCCCTTTTTTTTTGGGAAGGGTTCCCCCTTTAAGCTCAACCAACAAAAAGAGGATGCCCTTTTTTCCCAGGGCCACTGGGCATCTGAGGAATCTAGAATCAGAAAAGACGACTTATAAGAAGCGGATGGCAAGTTGTCCCAACCCGCGCCACTCGCCTCGGTCCGCCCACATGAAGCTCCCTCCCCGAGGCATTGCTGTCCAGATGAGCGCGGTGCCCAGATGGAGTTGCCCAGCGGAGCCGAAAGTGCCCCCTCCGAAGAGAAAACCAAGCGCTGACCAAAGGTTTCAGCTCATTTTATCCTTGAAGTTCCCAGCATTTGGGAGTAGTTGGAGGTAGGTCGCGCGATTGTGTTGTTTTATCGATGGCCATGACGTGGAAACGGCCCACAAAAGCCCGGATGGCAGTTTCAAGTTGCCCCATTACGTGTAATGTTCCTGAGCTTCCAGCGTACCTTGATGAATATCTCCAACAACAGGGCTTCCCTGGTTGCTCTGCCTGCAATATTCATGCTGTTTGCACTGAGCGCGGGTGTACAAGTAGCGGCCTTGTGCATGCTTTTCCAGAGGCTGACACCCACACACACACACAAACACAAACACAAACACAAACACAAACACACAGACACACGCACAGCCACACAGACACACAGACACACAGACACACAGACACACAGACACACAGACACACAGACACACAGACACACAGACACACAGACACACAGACACACAGACACACAGACACACAGACACACAGACACACACACAGACACACAGACACACAGACACACAGACACACAGACACACAGACACACAGACACACAGACACACAGACACACAGACACACAGACACACAGACACACAGACACACAGACACACAGACACACAGACACACAGACACACAGACACACAGACACACAGACACACAGACACACAGACACACAGACACACAGACACACAGACACACAGACACACAGACACACAGACACACAGACACACAGACACACAGACACACAGACACACAGACACACAGACACACAGACACACAGACACACAGACACACACAGAGACACAGAGACACAGACACACACAGACACACAGACACACAGAGACACAGACACACAGACACACTTATCTCGAGAGGCTTCACTAGCCGAGATGAAAACCGCAGTCAGTAAAAATGCTTGAATGCAAATGCAGAGCAACAGGTCACAACATCGACACCGAACAGGAAGCAACAGCGACAAACAGAAACCGCAAAAGGAATCAGGAAAGAGAGATTGCAGGTACGTCCAGAAGGCGTCCCTTCCGGATTTCACGACCAAACCATCACTGTCTTCGTTGGGCAGTGAGTGATGGCGGTCCACTGCCCCCCTGCTGCTTAAAGTTTTTGCGTCCGTGCTCCAGGACGGTTCACACACACAAGGCCCCGGGTGGGGCGAGCTCACTTATGCAAGGCTCATTGAGTCTTGCAATCTTCGACTGTGCGGGAAAGTCTCGTGGCGATGACAGACCATGCATGCTTGGCCTTGGTATTGATCTTAAGCGAACGGAGGAGATCAATCTCCCCCTCAGTCCAAGGTTGCGGGGCTTCGGGATCAGCCTCAGTAGCGGAATCAGTCCTGGTTGATGGGGTAGCATCGCGTTGTCCATGGGTAGGTTTGGA